CAATTAATCGTCGATTCCCCAGAAAATATGGGAAAATATGGGAAGTGGGGGGGAAGACAAAAACCCAGAAGATATGGGGAAATATGGGGAATCCTGTTATTTGTGCGTATTTATTTGTGTGTCCCAGGGCCCCTTCAACTCTTGCTGCTGGCTCGCGTGCTCCGGCGTCACCAGCCTCGAGCTTATCCTTAAGTCGGGCGTGTCCCCTACAGGAGGGTTTTCGACGAAACATGAAACATACCCCAAACATACGCCCAAAAAGGTCAAAAAGTAGTCAAACAATAGTCCCCAGACTATTGTTGGACTATTTTTTATAATTTTTGTAGTATTTTTTATTTTTCGTCGAAAATCCCCCTGTAGGGGGACAGGCCCGACTTACACTTATCCCCATCCCTACGATTTGACACGCCAAGAAGCGATGACAATCTCAGGGGTGCGCCCTGAGAAACTCGGGGAATCCCCAAGATTGGCATGGTGATGAGGCGATGCCCAGCTTAGGGCTAGGGATATGTTCCAGGCTGGTAAACGTGCTCCAAAATGACCGTACGGCAGTCTTCTTTTTGCTGGATCGCGTGCTCCAGCGCGCCTGCTGAGCTCTGGTCATCTGCGGTCCAGAGGGGTGTCTCCGGCACCCACGCGGGCTTGGCATCGCTCGGACGTGTGCATTGTTGCTCGGCGAGAACCATCGGGGACCATCCTGGACCAGCGAGCAAAACCCCCAAAAACAAGCACGCACGAAGCCGGAAAGTGCACGGGACATGGACGGCCGAGCGACTGCAAGCAGGGGGAAGTGCGTGGGGGGGGGGGGGGGGGATGGCTCTGCACGGGCAGGCGCCTGCCCCCCCCCGCCGCCCCCCCCCACCAGAGGCTGCGGGCGACGGGGCCCCGCGTGGCTTCCTGTCGGTGCTGGACGCAGCTCTCCTGGTGAGCACGGTCCCTCTCCCCGTCCTTAGGGGAACAAGCATAAAAACTCGGAGGTCCGCGCGGATTTCAAGGATCGGCGCTGGACCCCCCTCCCTGGCGCGCGGAGCGCGCCAGGGGCGGCCCCGGAGGCGCCGCCGGGGGGCCCCAGCGCCGATCCGAGAACTCCGCGCGGACCTCAGAGTTGTTATGTTTATGCCACTTTTTGTTCCCCTGTCGACAACGATGAGCTAGAGTAGACGCTTCGCATATCCCCACCAGCCCATCCAGAAGCGATGTCCGGGCGAGTTGAGGTGATCAGCTCTCCTGGTGAGTACGCTCCCTCTCCCCGTCCTGGCCCTCCTCTCGACGCGCTCGCTCCCCCCCCATCCACCTCTCCCTCGCCAGCCTCGCCGGTGGCCGTGCCTCCTCGGGGGCCCGCTCGGCCTGCCGCAGGGCCTGCCGCAGGGCCTTGCCCTCCGACCGCTCGCCTTGGCCCGGGCGGCGTCCGCCGGAGCTCCCCGTCAGCTCCGGCCTCGTCGGCTCCACCCCTCGTCGAGCAGTTTGGGGGCCACACGCGAACCCTACCCCTGCCCCTACCCTCCTCCTCCTCCTCCTCCTCCTCCTCCTCCTCCTCCTCCTCCTCCTCCTCCTCCTCCTCCCTCTAGGGGGCCACACGCGAGCCCTGCCTCTACCCCCCACGATTTCTGAGGGGGAGGGTGGGGCTCACTTCGCTCAGGAGCTCCCGAGCGGAGCGAGCCCCACCCTGCCCCTCAGAAGTCGTGGGGGGTGTAGGGGTATAGGGTTGGCGCGTGGCCCCCGCAGCGGGCGGTGGCGAGGCGTCCTGGCTCGCCTACGGCCCTACCAAGCAATGTTCTGAGAACCTTTTTGTTGTGGCTTCCACGAGATGTTCTTAGAACATGTTTGGTTTGGGCTGTCTTGGTTTGACACATCGGGTTGGTGTTCTAAGAACACTGTTCCGTTCTCAGAACATTTTTGGGTTCTCAGAACATCTCGTGGTAGGATTACGTATAGGAATGCCGGGACGGTCGGCCCCTGCTCAAAGCTTCGAGGCCCCAGGCGTCCACCCCGGTGCACGCAGGCTCTGCGTGCGGCAGCCCGTCACCGAGGCCGCCCAGGCAGCACCTGCCAGCCATTGCAGCAGTGCGATGTCAGCGCTCGACTGCGCTGGAGCGAAAATGGTCTCGCCCGCCCCTTTCTTCGGCACGCTGTCGGGCCGATCTGGCCCGCAGCGTCAGGAGCGCGGCCTGCCACCAGCAGCAAGACCGAGCCATGCAAGATCGGCAAAACGACCCCGACGAAGTCCCAGGCACGGCACGCGGGACAGCGACGGGACGATGAGTCGAGAATTCCAGGAGAGAGTATTATTGTGTGGCGAGCGCCGAAACGGCAAGTAAACAGCCTGGCCTTTCCCGCCGGCTGATTGTTTTCCCTGCGCGCGCAGGCGAGAGTCGATTTCGCGCACAACGGAGCAGAACAACAAGGCCAAGCAAACCAGGGGCGGACCTAATTAAATAGTGTTTTGGCGATTTCGTGGGCCGTTTGCGTTTCGATGTCGTTTTGCGCTACAGGCGGACTGAAGACAAAACGAGGGAAAACGAAAACACAACGAAAACGAAAAACACCGTTTAGGTTCAGCCCTGAAGCAAACTGCCCGGTCGTCTTGATCTCGGTAAGGCCTACACCACAGTGTTGTCAATTGTTAATTGCCGGTGTGCCCGCCAACGATCTCTTGTGACCATGCGGGTTCCATTATCGCCGTGCATTACGACATTATGTGTCAGTTAGTTGTTTTAAGTGGCACGTCACATTGATGTATGGAGAAGCGCGCCCGCGACACAGTCAGGAGCGCACACAAACACATGGTTATTTTACTTGTTGCCGGGATTCCAATACTTCATTGCAGCAGGTCCCACTACTAACCGCGAGGGAGCTCCCTAATCGCCCCTGCACTCCTCACTGGCAATTTGCGATGCGAGTTCCTCAGGCACGGCTAGACTCCTGCTCCCTCTTTCTCGCTTCTCTCCTCCTCATCCCTCATCCCTCGTCATCCTCCCTCCTCCTCTCTCCTCCTCTCCTTTCCCTCTCCTCCTTCTCCAAACCAAGCTCCTCCTCCTCCTCCTCATCCGCCTCCTCCTCGTCGAACTGCCCCTCGGCCAATTGGGTCGTCAGAGGCGTCGTCGGCAGTAGAGTGGTTGAAGACGTTGTCCCCCAGACGCTCCAACCTCATCCGCCTCCTCCTGTCCGTTTCCTCCTCTCCGTAGCAACGCACAACCAAGAATACACAGTGTTTGGCGCCCTCGGCGCAAGGAAACGCAAGGAAAGCGCTCGAGTGCTCCCCGCGGCCTCCCCCCCAGCACCTCCTCCTTCTCCCCCTTCCTACTTTCCCCCTCCTTCTCCTCCTTTCCTTTCCTCCTCCTCGTTGCAAAGCAAGAGAACCAGGAATACACGGTGTTTGGCGCCCTCGGTGCAAGGCAACGCTGTGCATTTTCTGTTTTTTTCGGGGGGGGGGGGGGGGGTCTAGGATGAAAGGAAGGACGTTTTTTGTTTTGGGGGGAAGGGGGTGGAAGCTCGAGTGCTTCTCGCGGCCTACCCCCCCCAGCACCTCCTGCTTCTCCCCCCTCCTCTTTCCCCCTCCTTGCCCTCCTTTGCTTTGCAACAAGGAGGAGGAAAGGAAAGGAGGAGAAGGAGGGGGAAGAGGAAGGGGGAGAAGGAGGAGGTGCGGGGGGGGAGGCCGCGGGGAGCACTCGAGCTTCCCCCCCAAAAAAACAAGAACAAAACAAAACAAAACCCTCCTCTTTCCCCCTCCTTGTCCTCCTTTCCTTGCCTCCTCCTTGCTGCAGAGCAAGAGAACCAGGAGTGCACAGTGTTTGGCGCCCTCGGTGCAAGGAAACGCTGTGCATGTTCTGTCTGTTTTTTTTTTTGAGGGGGGGGGGGGTTGGGTCTAGGATGAAAGGAAACACTGTTTTTCTTGGGGGGGGGGGGGCGGGTTTGGAAGCTCGAGTGCTCCCCCGCCGGCCTCCCCCCCAGCACCTCCTCATTCTCTTCCGGAGCTCCCACCCCCCCCCCCAAAAAAAAAAAGCTTCCTTTCCTCCGGGACCGAAAAAAGCCCCCCAACAAAAAAAACACAAATACACAGCGTTGCCTTGCACCGAGGGCGCCAAACACTGTGTATTCTTATTTCTCTTGCTTTGCAACAAGGAGGAGGAAAGGAAAGGAGGAGAAGGAGGGGGAAAGAGGAAGGGGGAGAAGGAGGAGGTGCGGGGGGGGAGGCCGCGGGGAGCACTCGAGCTTCCCCCCCCAAAAAACAAAAACAAAACAAAACAAAACCACACAGTGTTTCCTTTCATCCTAGACCAGCAACAACCAGAAAAACCAAACATACACAGCGTTTCCTTGCACCGAGGGCACCAAACACTGTATATTATTGTTTTTGCGTTGCTGCAGAGAGGAGGAAACGGAAAGCAGAAGGAGGAGAAGGATGATGGGCGAGGAGCCGCGCCATGCCATTTGCATTTCGCCCTTTTCTGGTGGCGGCGGCAATGAATGTGTAAGTTGTTCTGGTCCACATTTGGCTACCACCACGCTTGGATCGGAAGGTTCGCGCACGGTGACCACGCACAAACGGTAGAGCGCCCGCGCCTGCCTGGGCACCCGCGAGCCAAAACAGCTATGGAAAGAAGGCGGGCGAAAGAGACGGCGAGGGCGAAGAAAAGCAAGGGCTGATGCAAGTTGACTATTTTACGCCTCTCTTCTTCCTTAGGCAGGCGATGGGGGCGTGTCTTCGCCCGCGGCGTCATTTCCTCCAGCCCTGCCCTGCAGCGACTGCCGCAGAGTTCGGCGATTCGGATTTTTGGCAGTGGGCTGCGCTTGGCGTCCGTCCTCCTCGACTGCGCGCCGCCCCTGGGGCCCTGGCATCGCTCGGACGTGTGCATTTTTTCCTTGGCGAGGACCATCGAGGAGCATCCTTGATCATTTCGCGAAAAAACCACGCACGAAACCGAAAAAAAACACAGGAAATGGACATCCGAGCGATGGCCAGGGGGCGGCGGGGCCGCCGGCCGCCGCCGGGCGCGGAGGCGGCTCGCTGCCATTCGCGCGTGCGCGTCTTCCCGGGGCGCCTGCACCGGGCGCGCCCCGTGGCCGCCGCCGCCGCCGCGGCCGTCCTCGTCGTGGCCGCCGCCCTCGGCGTCAGCGGCGTCGGCGGCGGCGCCGTCGCCGTCGTCGGCGGTGGCGGCCTCGGCGCCGGGCCTTCGTTTGGGTCGCCGGCGGCGACATCAACGTCGTCATCGGCGGCTGCGGCGACGTCGCCGTCGTCGGCGGTGGCGGCCCTGGCGTCGGCAGCGTCGTCGTCGTTGCCCAGCTGCGAACCTGGGCTGCACGCTTCTTCCCCCCCCTCGACCGCAATCAGGGTTGGTTGGTTGCGCATACGAGGCGACGTGAAACTAATCGAGGGGAGGATGAGGCGAACGTTGACATGAAAATGGGGCAAAAGAGGGCTGAGGGAGGGGAGAACAGGACGAACCCCAAAAAGATATCAACCTGGGTTTATATCATTCCGGGATTACTGACCAGGGTTCATAATGCCCCCCCCCCGGAGCATTAATTATAAATTTGGGTTTTAATGTTCCGCCACATGTTGGTTGGGGTTCATAATGTTCGCCCGGGAACATGATACACCTTGGTTGATAACGTTCCGAGAATATCGACCCCTAAAAAGATATTAATTTGGGAGCATAATGTTCTGGAAATACTGACTGGGGTTAATAATGTCTCGGGAATCATGAACCCAGGATTTTTTCTGGACTGATAATAATGGAGGTTGAGGGGCGTCGCCAGAGCCATTGGCGGATATTCTGAATCCAGATTCATGACTCCAGAATGATTCTAAGTGCTATTTTCCCCCAGCCCCGCGCCTGGCGCCTCTCAATTGGGATCCACTATGTTAGAATATTGACCCTAGTCCGTTATCTTTAGAACATCATACATTGGGGTTCGCAATATTCTGGGAATGACGAACTCAGGTTCATTATTCCAGAATGATAATGATCCGGCGGAGGGGGGGGCGCTTGAGAAGGAGCTTGGACTGGGATCAACCCTGGTTCACTGTGTCGGAATATCGACCCCAGCTTCATATTCCGGGATGAAAATGATCCGGCGGGAAGGGGGGACACGGGACACCGAATCATCCGCAGGACAATAATCCAATGAGGGTATCATCTGAACATAATGAATTTAGGTTTATCATTCCTAGATGATGAACCACGGTCGACGAGGATTTCGGGGTCACCCTCGGGGAAAACGAGGAGGAGGAGGAGGAGGTAAAGGAGGAGGAGGAGGAGGAGGAGGAGGAGCACGAGGAGGAAGAGGAGGAGTACGAGGACCAGGACCAGGACCGAGGGGGAGGACCAACACGAGGAGGAGGAGGAGGAGGACGAGGAGGAGGAGGAGGAGGAGGACGACGACGACGAGGAGGACGACGACGAGGACGACGACGAGGACGACGAGGGTGAGGAGGAGGAGGAGGAGGAGGAGGAGGAACCGCCAGATGAGGACGAAGAGGAAAAAGGAGGAGGAGGAGGAGGAGGGAGGGAATAGGAGAAAGGATGAAGAGGACGACGACGAAAGAGGAGGAGGAGGAGGAGGAGGAGGAGGAGGAGGAGGAGGAGGAGCACGACGACGATTCGCTTCGGGCGCTGGCCGCCCTCTGCCGCCGGCCAGGCCACCCCCCGCGCGGCGCCGGCCCGCGGCGGCCCCCCGCCCGCGGCGGCCTCCGCGCTGCCCCCGGCCTCGCAGGCGCGGCCGGCCGCGGAGGGCCGCCTGGGCGACGGGAGCAAAGCGGGATCGTCTGCGCGAGCAGTCGCGCTTAAGCTCTCCGCGCAAGGTTCAGGAGGGAAAGACGCCCGGTACGGAAAGAGTGGGTACGATGCCCAGCAGCAGTTCTTGTTCATTTTGAGCAGGATTCGCTGTCCACGCCGCCGCGGCCCGCGTCCATTCGGGACAGGAGGCCGCCTGCCCAGCAGCGGCCGCTGTTGGTTTGGGACAACATTTGTTGTTGGGCATTGTACCCATTGTTTCCGTACCCATTTCGGGCGTCCAAAGAAACGGGATCGTCTGCGCGAGCATTCGCGCTTAAGCTCTCCGCTCAAGGTTCAGGAGGGAAAAACACACACAGACACAATGAGTTGTCGACCCCCAAGGAAATATGGGAAAACATGGGAAGCGGGGGGGAAGACGAAAACCCAGAAAATATTGGAGAATATGGGGAATCTTTTTATTTGTATTGATTTGTGTGTCCTGGGGCCCCTTCAAAGGTTGCGCGTAAGCGTAATGGGACCCAAAGGATATACACCACCACCACGTCGATTCCTCCCCTCTCCTCTTTCCAGCGAGAGGGAGGGGGGGAGGGGGGTGGTGGTGGTGTATATTTTTGGGGGCCCTGCGTAAGTTTCCCGCTGAGCTGCGGTCGCTACGTCACCTCGCGCAAGACGCGCTCTTGTTCGTCGCGCATCTGAGCGACGGAAGCAAAACGGGGTCGTCTACGAGGACATTCGCGCTCAAGATCGCTTAGATCGAAGAAGAGAATTTGGCGTATACATATTCGGAGCTTCTCGCGGATTTCTTGGATCTGCGCTGGGGCCCCCCTGGCGGCCCCTCTTGCGCCGCCACTGGCGCGCTCCGCGCGCCAGGGAGGGGGGCGGCGCGAGGGCGGGAAGATCACCGCGCATCGCGGGGCGCGACAAGCGAAGCTAGGTGTCCTAGCGTCTGTGGGGAAGCGAGGTCTGGTTAGGGTGCCGGCGACGTGCCCACGGGAGGCGAAGCATTTCTCGTGTGGGTGCCCAGTGGGCAGGTCCGTTGGAATCCCCACCACGAAGCGTCGACACTTGCAAGCTCGGCAGCATTCGAGGGGAAGAGGTCGCAGTTTAGCGTGCCGCTCTTCTGGATCCGTGAGGAACACACGAACGTGGCGACAGTTGTATGTTGGGCTGCGCCCACTTGTTATCACCACATAGCAACACTATGAAGCAATAGTGAAGGGAACAGGGAACCAGGAACCGAGAGTTTCAACCAGGAACCGCTGGAACCAGGAACCGGGATTCGGGAACCGGGAACAGAAACCAGGAGGCGGGAACCAGGAACCGGGAATTTAGAGTTAACCAGGAACCGGGACCCAGGAACCATGAACCAGGAACCGCGAGCCAGGAGCCAGGATGAACCAGGAGCCGCTCATCAGGAACCAGGAGCCGGGAACCGGGAACAGGGAATTTGGAGCCGGGAACCAGGATCCGGGAATCAGGAACGCAGGACTTGGGACATGTGTTCCGGAATGGGGAAAATGGGAGAGAGGGAGAACGAAGGAAAGTGATAGTTGTGTATATACACATATACAGATTACACGCATAATATGAATATATATATAAAAATATATATGTGAAAGAGCGTGTTCTACCGCTGCTGGCGGAAAACCGGGGGGGGGTCACTACCGGTTCGAACCCCTCCCCCCCCCCCCCCTCCGGAAAACCGTGGGGGGTCACTACCGGTTCGAACCCCTCCCCCCCCCCCCCAGCTCATCATGAAAAGGGGGGGGGGTCACTACCGGTTCGTCACCTACCGGTTCGAACCCCCCCCCCCCCTCCTCGAAAACCGAGTGGGGGTGCGGACAGTGGTGGGGACGGTGTTGGTGGGGACAGTGGTGAGGGGATAGCGGGACAGTGGTGGGACAGTGGGACAGTGGTGGGGACGGTAGTGGTGGGGACAGTGGTGGGGACAATGGTGGGAACAGGGGGGGACAGTGGACAGTGGTGGTGACGGTGGTGGTGGGGACAGTGGTGTGGGGACAATGGGAATGAGGTGGAAACAGTGGGACAGTGGAGGGTACAATGGTGGTGGGGACAGTGGTGAAGGCGGTGGCGAGGACGGCGGTGGGACAATGGGACAGAGGTACAGTGGGGACAGTGGTGGGGACAGTGGGGACAGTGGTGGGAACAGTGGGACAGCTCAGTGGGACAGCGGAGGAGTCAGTGGGACAGTGGGGACAGTGGGGATAGTCGGGCAGTGGTTGGGGCCGTGGAGACAGTGGGGAGAGTGGAACCGTGGTGGGAACAGTTCTGGGGACAGCGGGGACAGTGCGACAGTGGTGGGGCCACTGGTGGGGACAGTAGGGGCGGTGGTGGAACCAGTGGGGACAGCGGTGGTGAGGACAGTGGTGCTGGGAACACCAGTGGGGGATGTGATGCGGACGGTGGTGGGGACCGGGAGTCGTTTGCTGGCGGTGAGTAGGGGGGGGGGGAAAGGGGAAGGGGGGGTGCGAACCGGTAGTGGCCCCCTCCAGTTTTCCGGATCCGGAGGGTAGGGGGGGGGGGGGGGAGGGTTCGAAACCGGTTAGTGACCCCCCCCGGTTTTCCGGATCGGGGAGGGGGGGGGGGGGGGGTTCGGAACCGGTAGTGACCCCCCCGGTTTTCGAGCGGAGGGGGGGGGGGGGAGGGGGGGGGGAAGGGGGTGTTTTGCCGAGGGAAAAGGAGCAGAGGGGGGGGGGGAGGGGTTCCAGCAGGGGGGGGGGGGGGCGACCCCCGGGTTCCGGAGGAAAAGGTAGGCAATTTTCCACCGTAAAGCGGCGGTGGATCACGCTCTCGCATATATATATATATATATATATATACACACACATACATACAAACATACAAACGTACAAACATACAAACATACATGCATACATACATACATACATACAAACAAACAAACATATACATACATATATATATAGAGAGAGAGAGTGATAGAGAAACAAAAAGGGAGACAGAGAGAGAGAGAGAACAACAAAAACAACATACACATATTCATAATGTCGGCTTGGATTAACAAAAGGGTACCCCCCTCCCTCCCGGGGCTGATGAATAGACCCCGCGGGGCGCGAAACCATTTTTTTTATCACGCGCGCGAGGGGGTCGTCGGTGGCGCCACCGGGGGGATCGTGTACCTCCTTGCATGACAGTCTCAAAACGACTGCCTGTCGTATAGAAATTGTGATAAGGGGGGCACACATCCGAGGCGAATTTTGGTTCTCCCTCTCAGGCGTCGTCGTTGTCGTCGACGTCGTCGTCTTCTTCGTCGTCCTTGTCGTCGTCGCCTTCGTCTTCGTCTTCGTCGTCGTTGTCGTCATCATCGTCGTCGACAGCGAGCCTGCGCAGCACCCCGCCCCCGTAGGGCATCCGCAGTGCGTCGTCGTCGTCGCCGCCGTCGCCGTCTGCCGTCCGCCATCCGTCGTCCTCGTCCACTTCCCGTCGTCGTCGCCGTCGCCGTCGCCGTCGTCGTCGACGAAGAGAGCGGCTACTGGAAACGGGCGCAGGCAGGACGGGGGACGGCGGCGACGACGGCGACAGAAGTGGGGAGGAGGACTACCCGCCTTGCCCGGATCGCACGAAAGGCTGGGGAAGGAAAAGGGGGGTTGCAAAGCTTGCTGCGCGCAGCTGGTTTCGGTCGCCCCGCCGAAGGGCTAGTTCTCTACGCATGGCCGCTTTCGGCGCGAGGGGGCGCTTGGAAAATCGGCGACGTGAGCTGGTTGGCAAATCCCCCCCTGGTTGCGCCCCACGTATGTATGTATGTATGTATGTATGTAAATAGATATATATGTATGTATGTATGTATGTATATATATTATATATAATATATATATAAATATATTATGTATGTATGTATGTATGTAATGTAATATTATATATAGTATATATATAATATAGAAAGAGGGCGGTGTTATACCGCTGCTGGCGGAAAACCGGCGGGAGGTCACTACCGGTTCGAAACCTCCCCCCCCCCCTCCGGAAAAACCGGGGGGGGTCACTTTACCAGGTGGACCCCTCCCCCCCCCCAAGATCATCATGAAAGGGGGGGGGGGTCACTACCGGTTCGAACGCCCCCCCCCTCGAAAACCGAGTGGGGGTGCGGACAGAGGTGGGGACGGTGTTGGTGGGACAGTGGTGAGGGGACAGCGGGACAGTGGTGGGGACAGTGGGACAGTGGGACAGTAGAGGGCCGGTAGTGGTGGGGACAGTGGTGGGGACAATGGTGGGAACAGGGGGGACAGCGGACAGTGGTGGGGACGGTGGTGGGGGGGACAGTGGTGTGGGCACAGTGGGAATGAGGTGGAAACAGTGGGACAGTGGAGGGTACAATGGTGGTGGGGACAGTGGTGAAGGCGGTGGCGAGGACGGCGGTGGGACAATGGGACAGAGGTACAGTGGGGACAGTGGTGGGGACAGTGGGGACAGTGGTGGGAACAGTGAGACAGCTCAGTGGGACAGCGGAGGAGTCAGTGGGACAGTGGGGACAGTGGGGATAGGCAGTGGTTGGGTCCGTGGAGACAGTGGGGAGAGTGGAACCGTGGTGGGAACAGTTGTGGAAACAGTGGGGACAGTGCGACAGTGGTGGGGGCACTGGTGGGGACAATAGGGACGGTGGTGGAACCAGTGGGGACAGTGGTGGTGAGGACAGTGGTGCTGGGAACAACAGTGGGGGATGTGATGCGAGCGGTGGTAGGGACCGGGAGTCGTTTGCTGGCGGTGCGTGGGGGGGGGGTCGAACCGGTAGTGACCCCCCTCCGGGTTTCGAGGGGGGGGGGGGGGGGGTCCAACCGGTAGTGGACCCCCCGTTTTTCCGGATCCGGAGGGGGGGGGGAGGGGTTCGAACCGGTAGTGACCCCCCCCGGTTTTCGAGGAGGAGGGGGGATGGGGGGGAGGGGTTAGGGCGGGGGGGGGGGTTGCCGGGGGACGGGG